AATGATACCTAATACGTTAAAAAAAAAAAAATAGTAGGCAAGGAAATGTGATAAATTAATCAGTAAAATAAGACACAGGTTAAGACTTCTGAGTTTTATGCAACTGACCCTTCTTCTGCCTAAAAGAACCTGGCAGTTGAACTTTTATTCCTCCTTCCTAGAATCATATAAGATATTCAAATCACCATTTTTCAGAAAGTTAGATCATCTCTTTTTTCAACCATTTCTGCTGCAACCCTGTAGTATATCTGTAAAAGACAGTACATTTTAGAGAAAGTACTTACTATCTCCTTGGGTAGATATTTTTATTACTTTTACATTGGACAGGGTTTGTCTAAATGTTTGCCATGCCTTTTTTTCTGAGAGGTGCTCATCAGTAGGTGCTGGGGGACAGACAGAGTTGGCAACAAACCAGAAGAGAGAAAGAAAAAAAAAAAGAGAGGGAGAAAAAAAAAAAAAGAAATAGGAAAGGATAGAAACGTAAACAGAAACCAGGGTAATTCAGAAGAATATTTTCAAAAAATAGAAGAAATTTAGTCATTAGCAAGTTCTTAACACCCACCATTTCAGATGAACATTAGTTTAACGCACTCAATATAAAAACTCAATTGTCATTTTGTTTTAATGTATTTACCTGCCTTGTATCACTATTCCCCTAAGATATAAGTTTCAAATTAAGTTATCAAAAGTGACAGACGTATCAAAAATACCTCTTCTATCCTCCCCCCAGAACGGATTGCTAAGTACATGACAAATTGGAAATGCAATGTGTAACTCCATATTTTATTTAGATGTGAAGCAGCACTCATAAGTTTAAATAACTAATTTACATGCAGTCAAAGAAGAATTTTTCAGAGAAGCAATTTAAAATACTGTTTATTTTTGTACTATAGAACTATATTTTTTCCTGACTACATCAGTAATACTTCAGAAATGGGGGATTTAAATAAATCCTGAGTTGTAATTCTCCTTGCAACATTACTTACAGCTTTTGTTTGTTCACTACAGATGAAGATGTAATAACTGATGGGCAGGCTCTTATCAATGAATTTAAATGCCGTGTCTACAGAAGCATCTTTAAACTCCTGAGATGAAGCACGTTATCAGCCCTGCAGAAATCTTACCATCAGGCTGCTTTCAGAGTGCTGGTAATCTACTCACAAATGGACACGATTCAAGAAAAATAACACGGAGAAAATGAAAAAGATATCTGAACAAAGGCCACCAGGAACGATAACCTACTCCCCAAAGGTAATTACAGCAGCAATAATTACAGATGATGATTGATTTACTGCCTCCTTTTAGTTGAAAAACAGTAAATAAGATACTGTGGAGAAATCTGCAGCATCTCTGTCCTGAACATCAGGAGGTTTCCTTCAGACAGGAGTTTATTGTCAGCAACGCAAGCTACTCCAGCTGAACCACGCGATGTTGCTGTTTTCTCATGTCAGGGACTCTTAAGCTACCGGTGCATAGGGAAGGCAAAGTCCATACCTCCACATAAAATGGAAGCTGCATCTTTGGCTTTATTTAAGCAGGATGCTCGCAGGAAGGTATGTTTCATAGACCTTCTTTCTGGAGCACACCTAGCAAATAAGCACTAGTGAAGCATGTCTGTCAGGAGAACAATTTTCTCCATCTGCCCATCAATTCTGCACGTCTGTTATTTGCTCTGAAATACCTGGAGGTCTGGAGCTACCCTTCGGTTAAAGCTTCCCAGCACCTTTTTGCACACAAGGCCAACCGGCCTCCCTTCGGCCGGCTCCAAACTCTTTGGTGCACGTAAATAAATCCTCCCCGGGAAGCTCGGGATGTAAACACGTACGCTGGCTGCAGAACTTTCCCCGTGGAATCGCTGTTACGAGGCGAGGGCACAGCAGCTCGTTTGTTCCCCGCGAGATGCCAGACAAAAGCACCCCTGAACTGCACAAACTTCCCCCAGCAGCAGGTAAAGCAGCGCGTCCAAGGTTTTCAAAGAGTAAGCCTGCTCTAAAGCTCACCGAAGTCAACAGAAAGACTTGAGGAGGGCAACTCCTCGAAAGAGTTGTTCCAAACGAACGAGACGAGGCGAGGCGCGGCGCTGCCCGGTCCCGCTCCCCGGCGGCGGCACCGGGCCCACACCGCCCCCCGGGGACAGCGGAGGGTCCGCGCCCCGCGACGCGCACGCACGCAGCCCGAGCCTCCAGAAGTTGCCCTCGGCAGCCTCCGGTCTCTCCCCCCCCCCCACCCGCAAAGCGGCCAACTTATTCGCGTTGCTGACCTGACGCAACTCAGGCTTTATTCAACTCCACTGCCGCGACCCGGAGGAAGGCGCGCATCCAGGGAGAGAGAGAGACGGTGATGGGAGGTGACAGCCACCCTCCCCGTCGCCGCTGCCGCCTTCCCCGCGCGGGGACCCGGGCCGGCGGCTCCTCGGGGGGCGGCCGCTCCTCAGGGGGAGCCGCGGGCGGGCGGAGGGGCGGCGGCGAGGCCAGGCCGCGCGGGGCGGGGAGGCGGAGCGGGGGGGCTCCGGGCCGGGACGCCGCAGCCTCCTCACAAGCCGCCCTTTGTCCTCCTGCGGGTCCCCCTCCTCCCGCTCGCCCAGGGGCCGCGCTCCCTCCCATCCCCAGAGTGAATGTATGGATGTACGCGTTTATTTATCGACACCCCCCCTCCACTCCTACTCGCACATGCCCCCCTCCGCGGAGGGCGAGCGAGGGGCCGCTTCACGTGATAGCCGCCGCCACATTCCTCCACAGCCCCAACTCCGGCCCCGCATCGGGAACTTCGGCCGCCCCACCCCCACCGGGACCGGGCGAAGGGAAGAGAGGGGAAACCCACAACTTTTCATTAAAAAAAAAAAAAAAAATTAAAAATTATAAATAAATAAATAAATAAAAAGAGA